ACGGGCGGCTTTTATTCATTAATTGAAAACCTTCATCCCAAAAGGAAATTACTTTTAGTAATTCCCAACCAGGGTACTATCTGCAAGCAAGGAGTTTGCATGTTCTCCCTGTGCTTGCGTGGGGTTACACTCCAAAGACATGGTGGAAAGTTGGTTGGCTCCTGTCTAAATCAGCCCTGTGTGTATGCATGTGAGATAGGGACCTTATATTGTAAGTTCCTTGAGGGCGGGGACTGATGTGAGATAGGGACTTAGATTGTAAGCTCCATGAGGGCAGGGACTGATAGATTTATGTGAGATGGGGACCTTAGATTGTAAGCAGGGCCGGTGCTAGGTTTCCTGCCTACACAGGCAAGGTGTTTTTTTGCTCAATCGGGCTGTTATGAAGCAAAATGTTCATATTGTGAAGCAGCTGAAAGGAAACATCGTTCGCTGCGTCTGTTAAATGAGACAAAACACACTCAATATATTTGAAAACAATGGCTGCCAATGTTCAGGATATTAAAATGTTTAATGGGAAGGTATAACATGCCCCTAATTTCCTGCTCTGTAAAACAGGAAGTCAGGCGACTTTGCTTCCGCGTGCAGGTCAGTCGGGAGCTGTGAAATGTTTCCTCTACACTTCATGAAGCTCCATATGAATAACAGCTGCGTGAGTGTGTTCCTGCCTGCAGCTACTTCTTTCTGTTTGCCAATCCCAGCACGGGAGGGAGGAGGGGTTACTTCACTCCGACGTGAATGAACTGGAGAGAAGTCTTTTCTTCATGAAGGACGTAACATAGCTGCAGAGATGGCTGGTGAGTTCCCAAAGGTTTACCTGGTATCGGGTTCTGCGCCTTCAACGCCGAGATGGCTAACGGTGAACATGCTTATGTTTCAGGAGGACGTTTCGTTCTACTGTTGGTGATCATGAACGTGCCCTGGTCCTTCCAGACTTCTGATACAGGTGGGTCGTAATTTGTAACTTTCACAGCTTAAGGTGGTTGTGGCCGTATTAGTGCACGTTGAGTTGGGTTGAGATGAGTTGGGTTAGAATGAGATGAGTTGGGTTGAGATTAGTTGAGATGAGTTGGGTTAGAATGAGATGAGTTGGGTTGAGATTAGTTGAGATGAGTTGGGTTGAGATGAGATGAGTTGGGTTGAGATGAGATGGGTTGAGATGAGTTGGGTTGAGATGAGTTGGGTTGAGATGAGTTGAGATGAGTTGGGTTGAGATGAGGTGGGTTGAGATGAGTTGGGTTGAGATGAGTTGGGTTGAGATGAGTTGGGTTGAGATGAGTTGGGTTGAGTTGGATGAATACTATCCGTGAGGTTTTGTATTTGCACTTAGCTCAGGACCAACCTTCAGGAGGCCTACCCCCATCTTCTTGGTCCAAGCACTACTCATACCCAAAGGTTTTGTGCATCACTACTACATGGATCGAGAAGAAGGTGGTAGAACCCACCAAACCTTCTCCGGAAAAATATAACTCGCAGTACAAATGAAAACAAAGTTTCAAAGACCGGACTCAGCCGTGTTGGAACTTTCAGAGGAATGCCGTGAGCCGGGCGAGAGCTGAAGGTAACTCTATATGCTTCATGGCTGCAGATGTTGGGCTCGTCTAGACGGGTGCTGTAGCCAATGGCTGCATTGTGCATTGGAAGTCACTTACTCTGCTTCTTGGTGAAGGTTTGGAAGGTCTCTTGTTCAAGTCTCAGGTGATTTATTGTTGGTGAACTCTTGCAGAGAGTCTGTTCAATAGCTGAAGCCTGAGGTTGGGTTTGATTAGCTTCGCCTGCGAGGCAAATGCATCTCGATAGAGCCAAAGAAATGCAGCCTCAGAAGGAGATTATTGAGGCAAATGAGGGTTTGGTGACATGGGTTTGAAGTGCACACTGTGCTATTGAAGTAAATGAGGATCTAATGACCTGTGTTTGAAGTGCACACTGTGCCACCAAAGAGAATGGAGATCTGATGACCTACATTTTAACTGTGCCATTGAGGTAAATGGGGATCTGCTGACTTACATTTTAAGTGCACACTGTGCCATAGAGGTAAGCGGGGATCTGTTGACCTACATTTGAAGTGCACACTGTGCCAATGAAGTAAATAGAGATCTGATGACCTGCGTTTGAAGTGCATACTGTGCCATTGAAGTAAATGGGGATCTGATGACCTATGTTTGAAGTGCACACTGCATTATTGAAGTAAATGGGGATCTGATGACCAGTGTTTCTAGTGCACACTGTGCCATTGAAGTACATGGGGATCTGCTGTCCTTTGTTTGAAGTGAACACTGAGCCATTGAAGTAAATGGCGAACTGATGACCTGTGTTTGAAGTGCACACTGTGCCACCGAAGAGAATGGAGATCTGATGACCTACATTTTAACTGTGCCATTGAAGTATATGGGGATCTGCTGACTTACGCTTGAAGTGCACACTGTGCCATTGAAGTACATAGGGATCTGCTGTCCTTCGTTTGAAGTGAACACTGAGCCATTGAAGTAAATGGGGAACGGATGACCTACATTTTAAGATAATATTGCACCACTGAGACAAATGGGGATTGGCTGACCTACATTTTAAGTGCACACTGTGCCATTGACGTACATGGGGATCCGCTGACCCACGTTTGAAGTGCACACTGTGCCATTGAAGTACATGGGGATCCGCTGACCTACGTTTGAAGTGCACACTGTGCCATTGAAGTACGTGGGGATATGCTGACCTACGTTTGAAGTGCACACTGTGCCATTGAAGTACGTGGGGATCCGCTGACCTACGTTTGAAGTGCACACTGTGCCATTGAAGTACATGGGGATCCGCTGACCTACGTTTGAAGTGCACACTGTGCCATTGAAGTACATGGGGATCCGCTGACCTACGTTTGAAGTGCACACTGTGCCATTGAAGTACGTGGGGATCCGCTGACCTACGTTTGAAGTGCACACTGTGCCATTGAAGTACATGGGGATCTGCTGACTTTTCGCCTCACATGCACATCCCATCCAGGAAAGCGACACCCATCCACACGAGCCAAGGTGCCGATGCCGAGCGCACTGATGAGCAATACATCACCATTTGCATCTCTGTCAGCGTTGCAGCTTTGGTGTAACGACAGGGACCGCGGAGGGTGGAAGTTGCAGCGATGAGAAATAAAGTAACACTGTTTATGTAGTCCTGGGACGGAGAACGTTACATCATAACTACACAACATTGTGTTATAACTGTTCTCTGCGGTCCGTGTGGCAGGCTGGTGAATGAAGCCTGCACCGCGTGAATCTATGGGAAGTCCAATCGGCGTGAGATGCTGATCGTATCGTTGATGATTTCTGGCTTACGCGTTCCACATGCCGATCTTTTATCTCTCGGATGCTTCACAGTCTGTACAAAGCTGATAAAAGGGGCGGTTATACGTCATATATGTGATCCGGATTCTTATCTAAGCCTTCCGCTGTCTTTGTTCGTACGTGATATTACCATTCGGGGGTAGAAAATATTCCGTCCGTGTGGTTTGGCTTTTATAGTAACCCTTTCTGTGCACATTGCTGGGTGGCGGCCTTATTACGAAGCAGGCACCCTCTGATATCACATATCATCCATAGTCATACCATCCCCTACCACCCTCATACCATCCCATTCATACCATCCCATCCCATACCATTCATACCATTCCATACCATTCCATACCATACCATCCCATCCCATACCATCCCATTCCATCCCATTCCATACCATTCATACCATTCCATACCATCCCATTCCATACCATCCCATCCCATACCATCCCATTCCATACCATTCCATACCATACCATACCATCCCATACCATACCATCCCATTCCATAACATTCCATACCATCCCATACCATCCCATTCCATACCATCCCATCCCATACCATCCCATTCCATACCATTCCATACCATTCCATACCATCCCATTCCATACCATCCCATTCCATACCATTCCATACCATACCATTCCATCCCATTCCATACCATTCCATACCATACCATTCCATCCCATTCCATACCATTCCATACCATACCATACCATTCATACCATTCCATACCATACCATTCCATCCCATTCCATCCCATCCCATACCATCCCATCCCATCCCATACCATTCCATCCCATTCCATCCCATCCCATACCATTCCATCCCATTCCATCCCATCCCATACCATACCATCCCATTCCATACCATTCCATACTATCCCATACCATTCATACCATTCCATACCATACCATCCCATTCCATACCATCCCATTCCATACCATCCCATTCCATCCCATTCCATCCCATTCCATACCATCCCATACCATTCAATACCATCCCATACCATTCATACCATTCCATACCATACCATCCCATTCCATACCATCCCATTCCATACCATCCCATTCCATCCCATTCCATACCATCCCATCCCATACCATTCCATACCATACCATCCCATACCATTCCATACCATACCATCCCATACCATACCATCCCATTCCATACCATCCCATTCCATACGATCCCATTCCATCCCATCCCATTCCATACGATTCCATACCATACCATCCCATACCATTCCATCCCATTCCATCCCATTCCATACCATTCCATACCATACCATCCCATTCATACCATTCCATACCATACCATCCCATTCCATACCATACCATCCCATACCATCCCATCCCATTCCATACCATACCATCCCATTCCATACCATACCATCCCATACCATCCCATTCCATACCATACCATCCCATTCCATACCATCCCATTCCATACCATCCCATTCCATCCCATTCCATACCATCTCATTCCATCCCATTCCATCCCATTCCATCCCATACCATCCCATCCCATTCCATACCATTCCATCCCATCCCATACCATTATATCCCATCCCATACCATTCCATACCATACCATTCCATACCATACTATCCCATACCATTATATACCATTCCATTCCATCTCATACCAATACCATCCCATTCATACCATTCCATACCATTCCATACCATTCCATACCATCCCATCCCATCCAATCAAATTATATCCCATCCCATCCCATACCATTCCATACCATACCATCCCATTCCATCCCATCCCATCCCATACCATTATATACCATTCCATTCCATCTCATACCATCCTATTCCATACCCTCCCATACCATTCCATCCCATTCCATACCATCCCATCCCATACCATCCCATCCCATACCATCCCATTCATACCATTCCATACCATTCCATACCATACCATACCATACCATCCCATTCATACCATTCCATACCATACCATCCCATTCCATACCATACCATCCCATTTCATACTATTCATACCATTCCATACCATACCATTCCATACCATACCATCCAATTCCATTCCATACCATGCCATACCATCCCATTCCATACCATTCCATACCATCCAATCCCATTCCATACCATACCATCCCATTCCATACCATCCCATCCCATACCATACTATTCATACCATTCCATACCATACCATTCATACCATTCCATACCATACCATACCATCCCATTCCATACCATCCCATTCCATACCATCCCATACCATACCATACTATTCATACCATTCCATACCATACCATTCATACCATCCCATTCCATACCATCCCATACCATACCATACTATTCATACCATTCCATACCATACCATCCCATTCCATACCCTCCCATACCATTCCATCCCATTCCATACCATCCCATACCATTCCATCCCATACCATTCCATCCCATACCATTCCATACCATACCATCCCATTCCATACCATTATATACCATTCCATACCATCCCATACCATTCCATCTCATACCATCCTATTCAATACCATCCCATACCATCCCATTCCATACAATCCCATACTATCCCATCCCATCCCATCCCTTACCATTCCATACCATTCCCATACCATTCTATACCATCCC